AAACCCCATTTTTTTCCTACAAAATACTTCTATTTTTCTTTCTCTTTCAACCACAAATAAAAGCTGTTGAACAGTTATTTTGAGCCTTGGGTATTGTTCTTTCCACTCTCATTGCTGAGCGCGTACACACACACACACACACACACACACACACACACACACACACACACACACACACACACACACAGATACATGCAACCAAGAAAAATTCCTATAACTCCTTACATTAAACACTGCAATCTCCACATATATGAATACTAGCTGAGGGAAAATCAGACAGAATAACCTCAATCCTCTCAGGTATTTGGCCAATCACCACAACTTCATCATCCTGAGGTTATTAGATAGTAAAAATAAATGACATGTTATGAACAAGGGCCACACAATTACGAACAAAGTAATACTTATTTAAGGAATGCATTTTCATATGTCTTTTGGATATTCTCAGGTGAAAACCATAGTTCCATCTTCCCAATTATCAAACTCTAGGGGCAGACTCATTTTTTGTATCAAATGTACCATTTGGAACAGAATTTATTCTTTTTACTTTTTAGACTGTCTTCATTATTTCTTACTTAGCCTATGAAATGTCGACAGAGCAATTAGAAATAGAACACTGCCACACATGGAATAGTCCTTTGATGACCAACATATTAAAATATACTCATTAATTAAGGTGGTTATTGGCGTCTTCTTAAAATGTTGAAGGGTAGAATAAGCCAGACAAATGCTCATAGCACTTGGCAGTCTTGCTGGATGTTAGTTCAAATGATGATGGCTTCTAAAAGACAGAGAAGTGAGGGGAATACAGGAAATTTTAGGATTTCCTGGCAGAACACACTTGAGAAAAAAATTGTCTCAGATGACGCATCCACTTGAATAGGATAGGGAATTAAATAAAGGAAGAGGAAAAGGAGGAGAATAAAGAGAAAACAGATGAGAAAAAAGAGAGGAAGAAGAGGAGATAGAGAGAAGAAGAAAGGGAAAGGAGGAGTAATAGGAGGAGGACGAGTAGTAGTGGAAGGAAGAGCCAATTTCTTTTTATTTTGCTCGCTTTTATGATTCTAGGATTTCCAATATGTTGAATAGCAGAATCTTCTTTTTCTAATTATCTATATTTCACTAATTTTTTCCCTTGCATTTAATTGATGATACCAGTCTTTGAATTTTGTTCTATCTTCTTCACTGCTTGTTTTAAATTTTATCTAGAAAGTCCTACTAATTTTCTTTTATTTAGACTCACTTCTTTTATTTTTAGCCCTTTCGATCTCTCCTCTTTTATTTCTCTTTCTTTCATTGTTTTATCTGATGGCATTTTTCTGATAGTTGCACTGTAAGACACTTTTACATTTTCTCATTTTCTATATTTTCTCTTTGGTTTTCCATTTTCCAGAAAAAGCTAAGAGAAATGAAAAGAGAATGAAACATTTTTAAAATTTCAGTTGTAGTACTGATAGTTTGAATAGTGAAGAACACTGTCCAAAATATTTGATCACCCTTAAACCTTAGTAGATTAATTATCTTAAAAGAATCATCGTTGGCTCTGTAGAATGTACAACTTCCAATATGTGCTTTGAAATTGAGATGATACAAATTACAGAATTTTAGGACTATTTCCAGGTGCAAAGAAAATGAATTTACATTGAAAACAAGGATTTTGTTACAACCAGTCTAAAGCTTCTATTTCTTGAGGATTTTCTACAAATAGATTTCTGATGTAATGGAATAACCTGTCATCCCCATGAGTGACTACACTATAGGTAGTAACTACTTATAAGTAGCTGTAAGTTTACAGACTACAGAGACTAGCTGTGATCTGTTCCAGCTAAACAATCGAACTCTCTGCCTCTGAGCTAAGAGGAACCCGGACGAAGCTCCGCTGAAGGGCAGAGTCTCGTTCGGGGAGATAGACTGCCCCTGAACCCATTTATACGGGTTCAAAAGGGAATATTTTTGGTCGAGCCTATGGGCTTGGAGAACCCACGCTAAACCAGCCTTGTGCCACATGCAACCCTCGTGGTGGGGTAGCTAAATATACTAGCTGTGATCTGTTCCAGCTAGACAGTCGAACTCTCTGTCTCTGAGCAGAGAGGAACCCGGATGAGCAGAGTCTCGTTTGGGGAGGTTGACCTACGGGCATTTTTTGGCCAAGCCTATGGGCTCAGAAGACCCACGCTAAACTCGGCCTTGTGCCACATCTACCCTCATTGAGGGGCTAGTAAATACTGATTAGCTAGGATCTGTTGGGTATGAGTCAGACTTCTAACCATTGAGCTGTTCTTTCATTGTGGCTATTGTTATTCTTTAATTATGTAAATTGATAATTAATTGTGGTAATGAGGCTCACCTAACAGGAAATGTAGATATATTATCAGCCTTATATTCTCCAATCCTGTACACTAACCATTGAGCTGTTCTCTCATTGTGGCTATTGTTATTTTTTAATCATTTAAATTAATTTCTTGTGGCACTGAGACTAACCTACCAGGAAATGTAGATGTACTATCAGCCTTATATTCTCCAATCCACTATTCTAACCATTGATCTGTGTTTTCACTGTTTTTCATTTACTCTTTCAAATGGCAATTTGACAAAGCCAGACTCTATTACTCACAGCCTGGTCATTTTCAATTGGTAGATTATGGCTAAGAAATGAATCATGTGGCTTAAAACATTTCAACCTATAAAGGTACATGCTGCATTTTTTTGTTTCTTTTTACATTCATTGTGTAGCCAGTTCTCACAGTCTGTTTACCCACTAGTTAATCTCAAGCAACTTAAACATCACTTTATAGTACACTAAAGCTTTTCCAACCAATTCAACTAATGACCTCACAATTTCTGGCAGAGATATATAAAATATTTCTCTGCCATTCTTTATCATAAGTGAGTTTTTTAGATTTCTTTACCAATTTCTCTTTTCAAATCTTTTACTGCAATTAAGAAAAAACGAAAACATTAATATTTTTCATTTTTTGACACTAAGTTTTTTTTTATCAAAAAATTGCCCTATAATCTCATTTTAGCTCTTACTCTTTATTTACTTTTTAAGACAACTTTGCAATAACTCTCTAATCTGTAGATATTTGTGTTTAATTTTAAAAATGCTTTATAACACCTAAAACATGTCTTATGTTTTTGTTTCTAAGGGTGTAAACCAGTAACACTTTTCATATGTTCCATACACAATCCCCAAAACTCTGTGTGAATTAAACGCTATGAAAAGAAAAATTACTTTTGTATAATTTAAGTAGGTTTTGTATTGTTCTTAATGTCAATTTTTGTTACCCAAACCCAAAATTATGCTATAATTGATGTATGCTGACAGAAAAATTTAAATTCTTTAATCAAAACATTTTCTACAAATAAAACAGTTTTTAAATTGTAATCAGTGAAAATTAATTAATTTAACTAGATTTTGATAAAACATTATATTTTACTTAATAGTGAAAAATAAATTTATTTACAGAAGATATCTGTCTCTTGTCAACTTAGTTCAAAGGTCAAGTGGGCATTGAGTCACTGTTTCTTAGCATAAGTGATGAAAACCCACTTAAAGTTATGTGAGTCTCATGGAACTTCTGATATATGGGTGACTACAAAAGACAAAATCTGATATTACCCACAATAGTAAAAATATATATCCAATATTAAAACAATATCATATCATGGGGAACATTGTAGTATAAATATATAAACCCTAAAATATATATATTTATTTTGAATTGTATGAAAATGAGAAAAATGAATATTTGATTAATAGGCAAGCAATGTTGTCAAACAAGATAATAGTTTGCTATTTGCTTAACTTTCAAAAAATATTTAACAAAAGTAGTCATACTTACACATTATTCATTGTCTATAGATGTGTTTTTTGTTTTTAATTTATTTTATCATTTATGTTTTTAAATTGATGGACAAGCTTTAAAAACACTTCAGGTTTAATGTTTCCATCTGAAATTCTATGTAATAAAAGAAGACCAAAAGATTAATAAATCGTGGCAGCACAGACACCACCATCATTAACAGGGGATTTAAGAATGAAAAAAAAAGTACAAATTCAATAAAAGATTATCCCCACTACTCTTTGTCAGTGTTTGAGCCCAAGGCAGAAGCCAGGTGTTTTTTTTTTATCTCCCCAATGGTCAGTTTTATATTTTTGAGTTGTTTTCTGGTTAAATTGTTGGTTTTTTCTGCTTTGCTTGAAGAAGAGTTCAACAGTTTGAAATAAGAAAAAATGAACACTATATAGGCAAGGTATGGATCTAAAACCCTAAAGTATCCTCACCAGAGCAACATTTTCATAAACAATAAGGATTTTTGTGTTTATTATGTTATTCTCCCTTCGTTAGGGTTAGGTTAAGGATTTTCAGGTTGGGCAGAAATGAAAAAGAAAGAAATTGTTTTTTTGTTTTTTTTTTGTTGTTTTTTCAGACTTCCATACTATTTTTTAAAAAGATTTTTATATACTGAGTTATGTTCTGATTTGAACTGATTGGCACAATACAATCATTCTACTTTCCATTTAGCCACATGCTGGTTGAACTAGAACTGATCTTTCTAAAAAGGTGGTGGGAGTGGGAGCATTTTTAAGTGACAGTTATTTGTTTATTTGTTTTTTGTCTCTTAAATTTTGTGGTGGGGGGGAACGGAAGATTTCAAACAAGTTCATTCTTAAAATCACAAGAAATGTAACTGACACAAAAAGTGGCATTCTTATTGACACTTTCAGGTAGATGAGCTAAAATAACGATGATGGTAGGGTATGTAAGGAGTGGCAGCATACAGTTAGGGGAGAGGCAACGGCTAGGAAGAAGGGGTTTAGCTGTCCTGAATTGGTGATGTCATTCTACTTCCTGTCGCAGGTTTGTTTTTCTCTTCCTACAATTTTTTTTTATTCTTTGATGAATCAGAGTGTAAGGGATGGGTAGAGCCTAAGCTGAAACAAACACTTACCTATTTCCTGGGTTTCAATGGTATATACATACATATATATATACAGAGAGAGATAGACTGAGAGAGAGAGAGAGAGAGAGAGAGAGAGAGAGAGAGAGAGAGAGAGAGAGAGAGAGGGTGGAGACAAAATTCTAATGTTTGATACTAGACTCATTAAAAAGTCTGTGGGTTGGTAAACTGGTGTGCTGAGGAATAAGATCCTTACCCCAAAGTGTCTTTTAGAATTATATGTGTTTTTGTTGAAGTTAAAATTAAACTTTTCTATTTGTATTGGTTTTGTATCTATTTAGACTCTCATAAAATTTCTGTCCACATTTCTTTCATATTGAAAATATTCAAAATTATTCAAAATTAGAAATCAAGTCAAAGTATGCTTCATGGATGCAGTTGCTGTATAATTTGTACCAGAGATTAAACTTGAATAAGCCTGAACTTTCTAATTGTGATTTTTAAGGTAGGCAAACTTGTGGAGTGAAGACAGAAATAAACACCAACACAGTCAAACAGTAAGGACAAAAAATGGTTTCAGTCAGTGGATTGCGTATTTCTTCCAGTTTATAAATTAATGCTGTGAAGATAAATATTTAACATTTTTCAAACAAACAGGTTGTGTTCCCTACAACAATAAAAACATGCTTTGTGATCCCTTTGAAGAGTATTTAAGTAAAGAAGAAGGAAAACAGATGGCAAGAGACTGCGATAATTCCTGTGCTTGGCTTAAAAGAAAATTCCCTTACTCATTCACCCTTCCTTCTCACCAAGCTATGTGACACTTACTCTTTTCTCCTCACTTTTTCCCTTGTCTCTTTTTTCTCATGCATACATGCAAAGAAATCACATTTCTTTTCATCTTAACAAACAACTACAAACAAGGACTATAAGAACTTTAACACTCATACACACTAAGAAAAATTTAGTTGTAAAAGCATGAAAATAAAAATAATTTATATTTTTATATTGAGAAAACATTTTTGCCTCTTTCTTTGTCATGGGTTGATTCAAATCTACAACAAACTCTTCTTGTTTGGACATCTGCTACAACACAATCTTCCTACCTTGTGATACTATTTGTTGTTACTGCGGTAAAACATAGGAAAGTTTTCTTATGGATAGAAGGAACTATATATTGAAAAGACTTTGAAACAAGGAATGTTAATACATAAAATCCATGGGAAAAGATTGACAATTTAATTTACATAGACAACACCTGGAATTGTTGTGTTGAGCATTTGAACAATGGAAAATGACCAAGACATAGAGGGCAATGATGATTGACATGTGTTCTATGCAGCTGAAAATGCAAGCTGCAAAGCGAAAACTTCATTTTTGTAAACAATGGAGTTGATTTCTCCTGGTCAAAAGTTGACTTGAAATACCGGGGGGGGGTAGATGAGCCACCCATTCTCATTCACTGAGGAGATTTAGTGAGAGGTGATAATAAGAGAGAGTGGGAGAAGGGAATTTGCCAGAATTACAAAGTAAGCTAACAACAAAGGGGATTTACCGAAATCCCACTATGCACCATGCCTTGTACCAGTTTGAGTGAATGTCAACAAATATGAATGTGCAAAGTAAAGGAGGAGAGACAGGAGGAGAGACAAGATAGAGACAGAGACAGGAGAGACATGGCAGAGAGTTCATCCCAGCCATTGGTCATGATACACCCCACATGACTGCCTGCCAAAGAGAACCTCCTGACTTCAACCTTGTGATAAACTTTACCAAAACCAGCAAACCTAACCTTACCAGGTCAACAATAATATCACTTCCAATTTAGACGTAGGTTGGGTTGATAATTAATTGCATGAAAACTCTGACATAAACCAATTATTGTATGAAGGACTGATATAAAAACAGTATTTACTTTTTTCAATTTATTAGAGTGTTATTTTTTTGTTCCTGTATGTCTTTGCCCTGCTTGGACTAACCTAACACAAAGATACTTGTGACGATTTGATCTTGACCTCCTTATGATCAAACGTAAATCCCAACATGGGATATAGCAGGTCTGAGATTAAAGTGATCTTCATTGCTCAGCCACTGTGTTAGAAGTCTTGGATGACTGAGGAGGGTGTTGTATGATTACAACCTTATTTTAACTTTTGTGTCAGATGAATAATAAATACCTGAATTAAAGCATTTGATTTTAAAATAATACACCAACTGAAAAATTGGTTCTAGCATTTTTTATGGCACTAATTATTTTAATTCTTTGTTTAAATGTTGTGTCCGTTTAAGACATAGGCAATCATAACTTGTTACAGATTCCTTTTCTTTATTATCTGTGAAATGCCATGACTTCTTGGGAAAGATAAGGGATTAGTTTCCTATTGTCCTCTTTATAGTTTGGAATTCAGAGTTTTTCCCTTGTTGGTTGCTACCCAAGGCTAGAAAACCCAGTTTACTTCATTTTTTTAAACCCCTAGATAGAGTGGGGATGTAGAAAAAACAGATTCATGCCTATTCCAAGGGCATTAGTGTGAAAGAGTACAGAACAAGCTCACTTAACGGACTACTTATTGAATTTATAAGAATTTTGTAAAATATTTCTTGCTCACAATCCCAGGATTTCTTAATTCTTCTGATCATGTAGAATTTCAACAAGCTGGGCATGTCCTCTAGGGACTGATGCCTCGTACATCTTTCTTCATAAGTGGGACTCTTGGGGGAACATCAAGGCCAGATGTTGAGAAGATTGTTTTTTTTTTTTTCATGTTTGGAGGATGAGGCAGCCAAGGTGCCCTGAGAGTCACACGTAGATGCTGGGAAATATCATCTTCAACTGGAGACTGGAGTATGAGCGTACTGGGTTACCTGAGCTGAAGGTATTTCAAAATGCCACCCCTCCCTAAAAGGTTATACACTGTTTATATCTAAACCTGTCACTATATTGCACACATTTGGTTGTGATGCACATGCTGGATATACCCTTATCAAAATAGCAACCATGATGTGTATATTGGGCTTTGCATATTTGTACACTAGCATCACTTGATTGGCATTGATGCTTTCTCATATAATAATAATAATAATAATAATATTAATAATAATAATAATAATAATAATAAGAGTGGGCCAATATCTACATTGGCTAATATGAAACTTTTACAGAAAGGAAACTGCAAGAAATTGGTATGAACACCACCCAGACCCGGTTACAGAGATCGAACCTGTAACAATTTTATGAGACTTTACAATACATGGACAGAAATCGATCAAAACTAATTGCCCAGTCATTATGATCAGAGAACGATAAACAGAATAAGCCTTCTTATTGACATGGCAGTCTTATCAAATTGTAATGAGTCTTTGAAAATCTTCAAAAAACTATCAAAGTACAAGGACCTTGAAATTGAAATCTCCTAAATGTGGCACGTGAGGACATCAACAATTCCAGTTGTAGCTGGAGTCCTCGGTTTGATTGGAAAAATTCCGATAGACTCATTGAAGGGATCCCTGGTAGCCCAAACCTTAAAAAAATTGGACTCACAAATATGGGTCACACATTATGAAGAGCTTTATCTATGTAAAATGTGTGGGTTTTAGTTATATCTTATATTTTTAGTTTAGTTTAGTTATCTTATATTTTTATTTTTTTTTTAAATTCTCAGTGAAAAATGTCAATGCCATTTCTGACCTTAGGTCTCTGTTTGGGACCCAGAAGTAGACCAGAAATCAAAGGCAATAATAATAATCATAATCATCATAATAATAATAATAATAATAAACTTTATTCCATGATAAAGGAAGCTGATAAATTCAAAAGGGAATTCCATGTACATGAAGAAGAGCAAGTAAGCCATAATACACTTACTGCAGCAGCAAAGAACCTAAACAAGAAGGCAAATGCAAATGCAATATACCAAATGCAGAAACAATAGCAAGATAAACCTCTTCATGGTCAATACTCTGCCCATGCCAAACAAGCTGATGGAAACAAACCCCATATTCATCATTAATGTAGGAGTAAAAAACTGGACCTGGAATTTTTATTCTTGCAGCACAGGACCAATGCTGGCTAACCACAAATTATCAAGTAAACATACTGAAAAAATGTGTTGACCCTAAATGCACAGCTCACAGCCTAGAAAGGGCTTTATTTATGTAAAGTAGCTATGTGTTTTCAGTTTGTGTTTTAGCACAAATGTGCCATGGAAAATGTCATGATGCAATTTCTGACCTTAAGTATTTGGTAGGGACCCAGGAGAAAATGGGTATACAACAGAAATCAAAGGTGATGATGATGATGATGATGATGATGATGATGATGATGATGATGATGATGATGATGCTTTATCAAATTATAAATTGCTAAATCAGTTAAGTGTAATAAATGATATATTTTTTTCTTATGTAATTATCAAAGTGGACATTGAAGTCAACACCCAGAGGCAATATTATGTTTCATGCTTGAGTGCAATCTTCAGGCTGTGTGTGTGACATTATGAGTAGCATAATGACCCATTGACCAGCATAAATAGTTGAGTCAACACACAACACACATAGCATTCAAAAACATAAAACTCAGTGTCCACTTATATATATATATATATATATATATATATATATATATATATATATATATATATATATATATATATATTAAAAACAAAAAGCATGATTATTTACAATGTATATGACTATGCTCAATATCTGCAATTTCAGAAACAGAAAAAATATATCATTTATTAAATTTAACTTATTTAGAAATAGGTAAAGAAGGTACTCTAAATAGATATTCTTAAATGCTCCAATTGCATTTTCAACTTTTTTCATATATATATATATATATATATATATATTACAATGAATCATTCATAAAAAAAGTAGATTAGTAAAGTTAATGATATAAAATGGTGAAATCCTTTTGCAAACAAAATTTTAAAGGTGCATTAACGTACAAATCAATTGATGAATGTTATGATCCTTGTTTTTTAAAAATTATAAACTTTATAAGGTCTTTCACAAGTACTTTCAACTGTACATTCAGTCATCCTCAGGCATGCAAATTATTTTGTTTTTGGTAAAATTCAAGTACCATCCGAGACGAGAAAATATATATATATATATATATATATATATATATATATATATGAAAATTTGAAAATGCAATTGGAGTCTTTAAGAATATTTATTTAGAGTACCTTTACTCATTTCTAAATAAGTTAAGTTTAATAAATTACATATTTTTTCTGTTTCTGAAATTGCAGAGATCGAGCATAGTTTGTACATTGTAAATAATCATGCTTTGGATTTTAACGTTAACCAAATTTTGGGGATTTATCATTAGAAATAAGTCTGTTTTCTATATTAGGCACTCTACTAATTCTTGATATATTTATCCGAAAAAGATTTGTGAGTTAATAAAAATATTGATTAATGTTTTAATGTACACTTTGTAGAGTAAATGTATTTGTATTAACAAAACAAAAAAAAAGTGAAAAAAAAAAGTTCAGATAATGATTTATATTTTTTTAGATGATAATTTTGTTTTAAAGAAATTTTTTTTGAAAGTCAAAATTTTGTTTTGGTAGAAAGCAAAGAAAATTGCAAGAATCAATATTTGAGAAGATTCAGATGTTATGTGAGTCATTTTATAATTTGTATTTTTTGAGGAAGAACCAGAATCTCGATACTGTGATCAATACCAGAATATATATATATATATATATATATATATATATATATATATATATATATGAATGATAAAATATAGTTTTATGGTATGTTGTATTTATGGGTAAAAGTGCTCATTATCAGGGATAGAACTTATGTAAATATCAAAGTTGACATTGAAGTCAACACCCAAAGGCGACATTCTATTTCATGCTTGAGTGCAAACTTCAGGTTGTGTGTGTGACATTATGAGTAAAATAATGCTCCATTGACCAACATAAATAGTTGAGTCAACACGCAACACACATAGCATTCAAAACATAAAACTGTCTGTCACTTCTTGGTGTTGATCTCAGTGTCCACTTATATATATATATATATATATATATATATATATATGACAAAAGTTGCAAATGCAATTGGAGACTTTAAGAATATTTATTTAGAGTACCTTTACTGGTTTCACAGTTCTATGATTTTCAAAGTTCAATTGAAACTTAAAAACTTCACTTGCCTTTTGAACTTTTTCTCACAACTCTTTGGGTCCTGTCACTGGATCTAACTGTGCCATGTGTCCTTAAGAACATCTGTATATAAAGTTCTGGGACTTATAAACTTAATGTCTTCAGCAACCATTTTTACCAGTGCTCATATTGCAATTTTTGAGTTGTGCAAGAATTGTGAGTTCAATACCTGGTTAAGGCAGTGGAGAACTTGGAGAGAGGAATTAACAAGAGATAACTGATAATTGATATCCATTAGACATGGCATGTGGAACTAGAACAGTCTACCCCAGCGAGTGAAATAAAGGGTTCAGTTTGACATTCCAACCACCTGAAGAAGGCTGGAGTGTACAATGGCTGAAACATTGTGATAAATTATGGCAACAAAGATAAGTAATGAAAAGTTTGGTAATCTATATGGATAATCCCTAGGAGGATGTAATCCAGAGAGCTCAATGTCAAATCAGAGCAATTATTAATTCAACTTAAATAGAAAACAGACAACCTTAATGGTCCATATATGTTAATTTACTCTTCCCCTTCCTTATTCTTTACACACTCTCTATTCCCCTTTCTTTCTCAAACCCCTACTTCCACTTCTGATTTCTTATATCTTCTCTTTATCTCATTTCCTGTGAAATGACTTATTAAATAGGTCAATGTCTGGTCCTTACACCCCCTACTCTTAAATATCTTAATAAAAATAGATTTAAAATTATTCCTATCTCTCCCTTCCCTCTGTAATTCCGACTCTGTCTCTCATACTCCTCCTCCCCTCTCTCTCTATCACTTTGCATCAACTTAAAACTACCCCTCAAAAGTGTATAAAAGCTATATTCAAATTTAAAACATTTTTGTCACCCTTGGAAGTGTGGTCTGATGAACCAGGTAAAAATCATATACCTGGGAAAATAAATTATAACCAATGGATTCTTAAGGTTGTCTGTTTTCTATTTAACTTGAATTAATATTACTTGCTTACCTTACCTTACCAGATTTTGAATTATAGCACCTTCTGTAACCTCCACATGTTTTGACTGACCTTTCAATCATCTAATGAATATTCATGAACGTTCTCAAATTTAAAACCCTTTATAAACCAGTGATATCCTTGCTTGTGTATATAAACATGTGCAACAAAATAAATCCTTACATTTGCCTAAAGTCCATCAGAGGATGAAATGTGTGTTGGCTAACAATAGTTTTTCCTCTTGTCTTTTTATTCATTTTGTTCCTTTACAGATACACTCTATCTGAAAATAGTTTACACTCATACACACACACATATAAAGAGAGAATTATATCAATATATATATGTTTCATGCAGGTATATATATGAATAACTATATATATATATATATATATGTTTCATGCAGATATATATATGAATAACTATATATATATATATATATATATATATATATATATATATATATCATAGGTTGAGATACAAAGACAAGCTGAAAAGCAACTTGTCAGCAGTCAATATACCACATAACACACTTGAGCGCTTAGCTTTGGAGCCAGTAGAATGGAGATCAATATGTTTTAGTGGACTCAGCAATTTTCAATCTGCTTGTATGAATCATCTTCAAGAAGCGAGAGCAAGATTTAAAAGGTCAGCCAATCTAACAGTGATCTCATCTCACAATCCTCACACTTGCTCCATATGTGGCCTCCTTTGTAAATCACTAGTGGGTCTTAAATGCCACTTAAGATTATCACACAAACTTTCATAACTGAATCAATAAGCAGTCAGATCCTCATACGTCAAACCGACGGGAGAGTCCATTTTATTATTATATATATATATATATATATATATATATATATATATATATATATATATATATATATGTGTAAATTCTATATATATTTATATATGTGTGTGCTTATTGGAAAGCGCTCAATATCAGTGATAGAGCTAACATATTTAGATGAATGGATATGAGATCCATTGAAATATATATATATATATGAGCTTCAGTCAGAATAGCTTTTCCTTGTCTTTTATGCATTTTGTTCCTTTACAGATACACTCTCTCTGAAAATTCACACACACACACACACACACACATATATATATATATATATATATATATATATATATATATATATATATATAGGTACCTTTACTTATGAGTAATGAGTTTTTTGAGATACAAGCTGTTTTTCAGACAATTTTTGTTGAGAGCTAAAATTGAGGTTATGAGCCAGTCTCAGATATCCCACCACTAGTTGGTTCAGAGAACAAACACCACAATGAATGCATCCCATGTTTCATTTGTTTACTTTAAGTTGAACCATCAGTATTGTGTTTGTAAATGTGCTTGCAATTATTTTGCAAAACTTTGTTTTTCCAACAATGGGTCCAAAGAAAGTTAGTGTGAAGGACGATGTGCATTGAATTAAAGAAAGAAATTATTGAAAAACATCACCAAGGTGTGTGCTTAGTCAACTTGGTGAAGCAGTACGAGCGTAACACTTATGCAATCTGCACCATATCGAAGCAGGAGTTGATAAAGGCTATAATGTCAGTCAAAGGCATTAAAATAATTTCTAAACATTTCTATCCATGAAAAGATAGAGAAGCTACTGATGGTGTGGCTGATGGAGAAGCGGCTCAAAGTAGATCTGTGACAGAGGCTATAATCTGCAAGAAGGCATGAGCTATTTATGCTGATTTACTGCAGTAGACACAAGGCACTTTGACGGACATGGCATTGGGCATGAAAGCCAGTCAGGGCTGGCTCAAGAATTTTAAAAAGAGGGCTGGCATTCACTCTGTTGTCAGGTATGGTGAGGCTGTGGGTGCAAATATGAAGGCAGCTGGGGATTATCTCAAAACTTTTGCTGGAATTATAGCAGCCAAAGGATACATCCCCCAGCAATATCTGTCTATATTTCTGAGATGAGGTAATATGTACACTATTTACATTGTTCAGACTATCGTCCTCATCTTTGTTGCCATATTTATCACAACTTGTTGGCCCTTCAGTATCTGTCTGTATTTCTAAGATGAGCTATTATGTACACTATTTACATTATTTGGACTATTGTCCTCATCTTTGTTGCCATATTTATCACAACATTTTGGATGTTGTATGCTCCAGCCTTCTTCAGGTGGTTGGAATGTCAAACTGAACCCTTTATTTCGCTCGCTGGGGTAGACTGTTCTAGTTCCACGTGCTATGTCTAATGGATGTCACTTATCAGTCATCTCCTGTTAATTCCTCTCTCCAAGTTCTCCACTGCCTTAACCAGGTATTGAACTCAAATTCTTTGGGTCCTGTTACTGTATTTAACTATTGCCTTTATCTACTGTGCCATGTGTCCTCAAGGATGTGGAGTAGGAAGAGGAAGTTATCTCTACAAGTAAGATCAAGGAAATGTTGGTAATGTGGGAGATTTTATTTAAAAAATTTAATTAGAAAATAAATTTAATGACACCTACTTATTTCTGTAAGGGAGGATGAAACAGATCTCATTGGACAGGTTTTTATTGAAAATTCCCTGCAGATGAAAGTGAGGAAAGCATGGCGAAAAGGGCAAAAATCAGTGAATAAGATTTGGTTATTCAGTTCAACTTTTCTTCTCCATCTACATCAGCATCTTCAAGTCATCTGATTGCCAAGGTAAATGCTGTACATTATACTTAATAAAACCAGTTTATTGCAGTACATTCTATTGTATTGTGTTTTTATATTTGTTATTTATAGGTACATTTTTCTTATTTAAAAACAGATAACAAAAAAAAAATTGCAGTGTTTTGGGGGGGATCAGAGTGGATTAATGGTTCAGAGTGGATTAATGGTTCAGAGTGGATTAATGGTTCAGAGTGGATTAATGGCATGTCAAATCATTTAAATTTGTAAAATTGATTTGACATACAAGTAATTTGAGTTATGAGATCTGTCAGGGAACAAAATAAACTTGTAAGTCAAGACACCACTGTAATCTTACTTATTATAAAACACAGATTGTGTGTGTGTGTGTGTGTGTGTGTGTGTGTGCCTGTACGTTTATATATTGGATCGGACTTCTTACATTTTTCAACCGATTTCAACAAAACTTCACAGGACTACGTAAAATTACCTTGCAGTTGTTCTGACAGCACCAAAAATTGGAAAAACACAATTGTTTTTGCACAAAATCAATTTGAAAACATGATAAAACATGATTCTGTCGCCAGAATGAAAGGGGGACAACTCATATCGAGTTATACTTATTATAAAACCCAGGTTGTTTGTGTGGGTGTGTGTTCATTTATATATGGGATCGGATTTCCTACATTTTTCAACCGATTTCAACAAAGCTTCACTTTTTTTTGGCAGGTAGTGTTTCTTATTGTCTTGCACACTTTTTTCTTTATTTTTACATTCAGAATGCTTTAAAAATTCCATTTACAAAACAATTGTTTATAATAAAATTCACTTCAATCGGTAGAGACTCATAACGATTGAAAACAATGTTTTTGTTTGAGTTTGGGTTTGACCAATTCGTAAAAAAAAACAAAACAAATAAAAAACTAATTAAAACATGCGTGTCTGTCAACCTTAAACAATAATCTTTGTCAATTTTATTTTTCAGTCTTTATGATGGTTGATACTTGATCTATCTCTTACTGTTACATCCCAGGGCAACGCCGGGCTCTACTGCTAGTAAACAATAAAATCCCAATTCACCTCATATGGGGAATAACCTATTTCGGCAGATGAAATAGGCTATTCCCCATATGAGGTGATTTGTGATTTTATTGTTTATTAAATATTTTCTCTGTAATAGTAAATACACTGAGCTCTTTTTGTGGATCAGTTTTAACATTTTATATTACTAGGATCCACTTAGATTATATACTAATGGAGTTATTACCTTTACTATATATATATTTCATACAATCAGAATTAAGATACCATTATGTAAATGATCATTTTCACCTTGTAAAATTAAATTTACAGGGTTTTTCAAATAGTCAATGGATGATAAAAAATGGATTCACTTGGATTATATACCAAAGGATTAATACCTATATCTATCTATCTATCTATCTATATATATATATATATATATATATATATATATATATATATATATATTTATTAAATTAGATGTACAGTGGAACCTTGGTCCATGAATTTAATTTGTTCCTGAAGGCCGTTTGTAACATGAAATGTTTGTAAACCAAAACTATTTTTCCAACAGGAATCAATATAGAGAAAAAAGTCACAGTACAATAAAACTGGAAGAAAAAAGCACAACATGACACATGAATGTATACAACATGGTGGTTGACACAGAAATTATTCCATTCAGGTTAACTCAGTTCAGCAATGTTATTTGAGAACTGAAATTTTGTTTGATAACCGAGGCATTTTCATCTCAAATTTTCTGTTTGAAAACCGATTTGTTCAACATGTGAGACATTCGAGAACCGAGGTTGCACTGTACTAACATTCAGTAGTTATCAAAGGCCAACTCAGAGTTTCATAATTTTTCAATCACTCATCAGGACTCTCAACAAGAATGATTGATTAATGCAATCATATTTGTCAGGAGTCCTGATGAGTGATTGAAAAATTATGAAACTCTGAGTCGATCTTTTATATGTGAGCACTATTATCAGAAATTCTGTTAAGTTTGATATACATTAAATTATATAATTTTACATATATTTATTGCTAAACACTATTATTTTACATGCAAACACACACCCAAACACACACACATATATATATTTTAATCGGTATCACCTCATGCAAGGCAGTAAAGCCACTAATGCACAAGGGTTTACAGGGTGTAGAAGAATTAGGAACAGAAACATTATAATGAGTGGGAAGAGAAAAGAATAATCAAGAGGACAGTAGATAGCAATTGACATTGCATTTAAATTTTTACAGATTAATGTTAACTGGAAAGCATGGAGCCAGAAAGGAGTTCCACAAGTGAGAAGTGTGAGGAAAGAAGCTGTTAGCATAGAAAACCTATGACTACATCTAGCCATCCCAACTGTAAATTGATGAGAGCTTGATGCCAGTCTAGTACTATACTTAAATTCATAAAGTCCAGGTACCATCACAAAGAGCTCATTCAAACAATAATCATGAAAGTATTTATAGAAAAGACACAGAGTGGCAACCTTGTGGCAGTGGGAAAGTGACTGAAGCCAAGCTGCCAGTTCAGGTCCAATAATATTGCTGATTCTTCTTTGGATTTTATCAAGGAACTCAAGGTAAATGGCAAGGGCCATATGTGGCAGCAATATTCTAAACATGGATGAATGTTAGACTTATAAATAAGTAAGATAAGTTCTGGAGAGAAAAATTGTTTTGCATGACACAGTGAACCAGCAGCTGAACTAGCAATAGGTTCAATGTAGTCTTTTCACTTTATGTCATCTGAGGATGTTAACCTGAGAAGGTGCAACGAGTTACTTTCCTAGAGGTTAGCATCAGCCAGGTTGATGGAAGGCAGAGAGAGGTCTCTCAGATAATTAATGGAGAGAGGTTTAGTTTTGAAGGCGTTAAAATTAACAAGCCATCTCTTACCCCATTTAACAAGAGACTTTACGTTGTTTTGGACAATGGCTGCCGTTTTGACCTTGTTGGTCTGATCAACCTTACTGTTTATTGCTATTATTAAAAGTTAACATTATTATTTTACTTTATACACACACACACACACACACACACACACACACACACACACACACACACACACAGACAGACACACACACACACACACACACAGACACACACACACAGATAGGGAGAGAGTGAGAGCAAGAGAGAGAGAGAGAGAGAGAGAGAGAGAGAAATTTTCAAAAATCTTTCTTGCTTAACAAGCATGAGAAAAAAGAAACTAAAAAAGAACAGTACGAAACTATTGAATATTGAAAGCAATATACACGAAAGCAGAAGAATTTCTTCAAGTAAAAGAAAAAAAACAAAAGATGATAAAAGTTCCAAATCAGGACAAAGTGTGTGTGTACTTTTTCAACATTAAGCTGTTTAGAATTATTGACATACATGTGTACCAGTATCTGTCTATATTTCTGAGATGAGGTATTATGTATACTATTTACATTTTTCAGATTATTGTTCTCATCTTTGTTGCCATATTTATCACAACGTTTTGGCTGTTGTATGCTCCAGTGTTAGCACCTGACAACTTTTTGCATCAATCTTGAAGAAACAATTATTTATAAGAATATTTTTTTCAAAGAATATTTTTATTTTTTATGAAATTCTAGCTAGCAATGGATGAGCTTTTTGTTAAGCATATGAGATGCTTCAGAAAAATGTAGTGAAGTTGAAGCCCATGTGGAAACTGAATATGGGCTACTGCACCTGCCAACACCCCCTGTTAGTCAGTGTATATTGGTGCAAGATAACTACCCTGAAGGAGATTCTGTAAACAAAGTAATTCTTTTTTTCATGGTTAAATTCCCTTGAACACTTGGGTAGCACCTTCTGTATCAGTTTGTAGATGAAGAGTTCAAATTTTTACACAAAATGTTTTTTTTTTTCTGTACAGGTGTATACTTGCATTTCATTATGTCTTTACCATCTTTGCATTCCAGAGACAAAATAATGACCCAGATTGACTGTTGATGGGATACTTTGTTGCAAAGATTGGGCTATTCCCCAGTATAATAGTGACAAAGTTAATACGTGTCTTGAACAAATCATGGAATTTGTTTATAAATTCTGTTTCTAATTTGCTACCAATTGAGCAAATGTGTGCCTCTCCAGATAAGAGTAACTCCTCATCTAATTGAATTCTCCACTTTGATAGATCATGATGTTCTTTACTTTAAGTAAAGAACACTATGGATTAGACTCAAAATATTTATT